AACCCCACTTGATCATGGTATATGATTTTTTTAATGTATTGCTGGATCCAGTTTGCTAATATTTTGTTGAGGATTTTAGGACATAAGTTCATCAGGGATATTGGCCTATAATTTTCTTTCTTTGTAGTGACTTCATCTGATTTTGGAATTAGGATAATGCTGGCCTCATAAAATGAGTTTGGGAGTCTTTTTTCCTCTTGAATTTTTTGGAATAGTTTCAGAAAAATAGGTGTTAATTCTTTTTTGAATGTTTGGTAAAATTCACCTGTGAAGTTATACAGCTCAAGACTTCTGTTTGTTGGGAGTTTTGAGTTTTTTTGATCACTGTTTCAATTTCAGTTGTTGTCATCTGGCTATTTAGATTTTATAATTCTTCCTAATTCAGTTTGGAAGGTGGTATGCCTAGGAATTTATCCATTTCGTCCAGGTTGTCCAGTTTGTTGGCATATAGTTGCTCATAATATTGTCTTACAACCCTTTGTATTTCTTTGGTGCCAGTTACTTCTCTTTCACTTCTGATATTATTTATTTGGGTCCTCTATTTTTCTTGATGAGTCTGATTAAAGGTTTGTCGATCTTGTTTATCTTTTCAAAGAAGAAGCTTTTGGTTTTATTGATCTTTGTGTTATTTATTTAGACTCTCACTCATTTCTATTCTGATCTTTATTATTTCCTTTCTTTTATTCACTTTGGGCTTTGTTTGTTCATTTTCCTGTTCTTTTATGTGTTAAGTTAGATTGTTTATTTGAGATTTTTCTTATTTCCTGAGATCAGGCTGTAATGCTATGAATTTTCCTTTTAGGGCTGCTTTCACTATGTCCTACAGATTTTGAGTTGTTGCATTCTCATTTTTGTTTGTTTCAAGGGATCTTTTGATTTGTTCCTCAGTCTCATTGTTAACTCATTCATTGTTTAGTGACATGTGTTTTTCAGTTTTCTTCCTGTGATTGATTTCTAGTTTCATACTGTTATGGTAAGAAAAGATGCTCGATATAATTTTAACCTTCTTAAATTTATTGAGACTTGTTTCGTGTCCTAACATGTGGTCATCTCAGGCACTTATTTTTAGTTACCTACTTCTATATTTTATTGGGAAGCTATATTCTATACTTGCATTTCAGGAGGTGGACTCTTCAGAGATTTTTGCACTGACCACTTCATTCATTTAACAGGTGGATTTTTAGAGTAACTACTCTATGCTGGGTGCCATCCTCCAAGCCAGGGGCAGAGAGATAATGTGGGGTTTTTTCTTCAGGAGGCTGTCACTCAAGGCTAAGAGCTACCATTACAAACTTACATGATGTCAGGACCTGCTCTGAGTGCTTTATAATCCTTACCTCACTTGATCCTTTCAATAACTCTCTGTGGGGAAGGTATCACTATTTTTACTATTGCCGATGAGAAAACCAAGTTTGGAGATGGTGAGGAACTGGCCCCTGGTAACAGGGTGGGACAGTGATAGGCAGGGTCCTCACCATCACTCTATGTAGAGAATGTGTTCAGGCTACAAAATGTAGATCTGGAAACTGGTTTGGGGGATTAAAGCCATCACTGCCCAGACAGGTGAGGGCTCTCACACAGACCTGAGTCCGTGGCGTGTCCAGCCTGTGTTACACACAGCAATGCACAAAGCAAAGGCATACTACGTGGAAAGGAATGAGAGGGGCCTTGTGGAGTTGGGGGCAATGCAGGCAGGCACACTGAGGGAGACACCATGATCTGGTCCCTTTAGTTAGGGACACAGGATATGCCCTGGTGAATGGGGCACATCCCTAGTGACCTGCCAGAGTCCCCTTCCTGATCATTTTGCTTCCTGTTCCCCACCCCCCCGCCCCAGGCCCTGCTCTTCCTTTGCTAGAGCTAGATGGGCTTCACCAGGGAATGGTGGGGGACCTGAGAGTTGGGGGAGTGACCTGGGTCTGTACTCCAATGTGAAACAGGGGGAGAAGGGCCTCTTTCTGTGGGAGCGTGTGAGTTCCTCCCCTGCCTGTCATTTAGAGGGGCCACCAGGCTTTTATTAGAATCGGGCAGCACAGGTGCTGCAGAGGGAAGCCAGCACCTGTGTGTGACTGAGCCTCCCTGGGCATCCTGAAGAGCTGACGTCTGTGGTGGCCTCCTGAAGGCTGCTGCCCCCTGGGTCAAGGACCTGTGCTGAGAACATGGTCTGCATGCACCACCAGCAAGGATGAGTCCTCTGCTTTGCTGGCAGTGGGTCACTGATCGAATTCTAAGTATATAGAGCCTATGGGTTATGTTAGAAAATGATCTTAGTCTGCTTCATCCAGAGGTACAGGCTCGGGTCAGTGTTCGAGGTGGGAGTTTTGTTAAAACAAAAGCAGGACAAGTTTAGAGAAGGTGGTTGGGGCAGAAGTAACCTCTCTGCCTCCATTTACCCTGCTGGCTCAGGAGCAGCTCTACCAGACCAAGGAGGGGCTTTGGCCCCAACGCCTCCTCTCTTCATCTGCAAAAGAGCCACTGGCTGCCACTCAAGGAATTGTTTGCTAATGTTAAAATATTCATGGAGAGGATGTGGCCTAATATGGAAAATAATTGGGGGCATGTTAGTCATAGCAGGGAAGCAAACCTCGTGACCAGCTTTATAGCCAATTGCTCTCTCCTAGTCCTGCTCCCTTTGTCCCTCTCTCCACCTGTTCACGATCCACACCTGTGAAGCTTGGCTAACACAAATTCAACTGATACAGTCTCTGCCTTTGCCAATCGCACAGCCTAACAATAATGAATACATATTCCATAAGGTGATAGATGCTCACTTTTTTGGCGTGAATAAACAAGGCATCTGCTATTGACTGAATTATGTCCCTCTCATATTCAGCCCTAACCCCCAATGTGACTGAATTTGGAAACAGAGTCTTTAGGGTGGTGACTAAGGTTAGATGAGGTCATAAGAGTGGGGTCCTAACCTGATAGGACTGGCATCCTAATGAGGAGAGACAGCTGAGATCTCTGTCCTCAGGTGCACAGAGGAAAGATCACGTGAGGACACCGAGGCCGGCTGTGTGCAAGCCAGGGGGAGAGGGCTCAGCAGAGATCAACCCTGGCATCTTGACCTTGGACTTCCAGCCTTTGGAACTTTGAGATAATAAAGGTCTGTTGTTTAAGCCACCCAGTCCAGTATTCTGCTGTGGCAGCCCAAGCTGACTAATACAGCATATGTTCCAAATTTGTTATCGGGGCCCCGGGCTCAATATGCTGTTTTGTTTGTACAATATCATTTTTATGACAAATAACAATTCTCCATGCATGTATGACCTTTCACCATGCACTGTATTTTTTCTCCAGTTTAGTTATCTTAATTTCCCCTCCGCATAGTCCCCTGGGTTTCATAGAGCAGTTAGAGCTACCTTCAGTTTATGGATAAGGACACGGTCGCAGAGAAGTGACCTGCTGTGGGTCACGGTGGCTGACAGTGATGTAAAGGAGCCTGAGGACACAGCAGGAACTTGACCGTGTGTGGGACCCCAGTCTGAACTATCACAGTGATGTCACTGTCACACGCAGCCAGCCTCACTATTTAGGAGATGGAGACATATCTTCCAGTTCATGAATCACACTTTCCTTGTGAGTCTGAACTACTCAGACACGCAAACAAACAAACGCTGCTTTGTTGATCTCAGTGCGTTCAGTGTGTGCTCAGTCTTGATCACTAACTCCAGCCCTTTCCTCGTAGGTGTTGTCGGTTCCCACGTGGACCCAAGGTTGAAGGTGCTCTCTCATTGTTGGCTGTACGGGGGGACATCTTCCAGTCTCATTGCTGAGTGTGGCTTCTTCCAGGGCCGCTGCCTCGTCTGTCAGCAGGAGTGTCTCCTGGCAGACAGGGGAGTGCCACGGGCAAGACTAGGGTTCTGCCCCTGTGGACACTCACCACGTCACCTCCTGACCTTGCTCTCTGTGGCTCCCAGAGGTCCCATCCCAGTGAACACTCTCTACTCACACCCTCGGGGGCTCTGCTTTGAAGGCTGGAGAAGCCTAAGGGTAGGTATTCGGGGGGCAGCAGAGAGATAGGGAAGGGAGGGGTAATGGAAGTTTTATCAGCCGTCGGTGCCTCCAGGGTCTTACACCGCTCCACACTCCTTTCCTACCTTCCTTCCTCTTCCTTTTTTCACGTGGCTGTCTCTCCCTCCTCGATCTGCTTCCCTCCTGATCCTCTTCTGTTCTGGTTGTTACTTTGAATAAGAGGACATTGGAATTTCATGGAGACATCCAGCTCAGCCTTCTCCCTCCATTGACCTGAGGCTCAGAGGGGAAAGTTATCTGCCCCAGGGCAGCTGGTTGAATGAACAGCAGAGGACACAGCTTCCCTGGGCCTGCATTTGCCTCCCTCTTCCTGCCCCCTGCCCCCACCTGGAGGCCAGCAAAGGCCATAGATACAAGCCTGCAGCAGGCAGAAGCATTATCTTCCCCCCTGCTCCCCACCCCCACACCCACCACCCATTTCATTCTCTTTTCCTCCCTCTCCTATTTCTAGCCTGGAGACAGAAATGGGTTCAAGATCTCCACGCTCTACCCAAATGGGGGAGGAAGATGGATAAAACCTGTAGCTTGCCAAGAAGCCTTAAAGCAGGGGTGGCACCCCTGCATCTCTCCAGAGCCAACTTGAAGGGTGAATGTGCACCTTGAGGGCTGTGTGTTCAGAGGCTGATCGGGCTCTGCACAGAAGGATGTCTGCTGACCACAGCCCTGGCCGGTAACATGTTCTCTCCCATCTTGAAGCATCAGCGCTTCTGGAGACATCTGCTCCGTAACTGAGGACGGAGCCTTAGGTAAGAGGATGCCTCCCTGTTGGGGCTTGAGTTTAGACGTTCCTGACGTCTTGAGTTTAGACGTCACGTAGCTGAAGAGAGAAGGTGCCGTATCTCTACAGCTCGGCGGCCACCACCGCCTGCTTAGAGACAGCCTTCTCCCCGCCCCCTTCCAGCCAGTCTCAGAAAGAAATACCCCAAATTCCAAACTGCATTTTTATTATTTTTTAATAAACTTTATTCTATATTACAAATAAGTTTTTTTTTGTTCTGAACTGCAAAATAGGAATGCCTTATATTTACATACACAGGTATACAATTAATTATAACAAAGGTACAGGAGCTTGCCTTTACCAAGTTACAACTGGGCTCCAATTGAAATAGCATAGGTTTCCTTTTTAAAAACTTTTTTTTAAATCTTTGTTTAAATCTTGCTAGGATATTCTTCTTTAAAAATCAAAACCAGAAGACCCTCATCCTCTAATAGATTTCACCCACCTATCTTTGGGGCTTGTTGTAACACTGTTGTCTAAAGGTATGCTTTGCTTTGTTCTAATGGTCAGTGTTCAAGGTGGGAGCTTTATGGAAACAGAAGTGGGAGGGGGGCTGGAGCAGGGGTGGCCTGCCTGCCTCCTTCGGTGGCCTCTCTAAGACCCCAAGGCTCCTCCTGCCTGTTCCTTAAACCACCCGTTCAGCCTTTCCTCTTCCTCCTCTTCCCTTTAGTATCGGAGACTCAACTCTGGGTCATCTGACCAAGCAGAATTCCCCCCGCCCCCCGCCACACACACATCCTGGCGCACTGAGCTGCTGTCTGCTGTGGTACCCTGGAGTTGCTGGTCACTATGGTTACTCGGCGAGACCCCGCTGGAAGGGATAAGCTGGTCCCTACGAGCTAAAGTGGGGAGGAGGGCAGCTGTGTTCGATCCTTCCTTTCCCTCTCCGAGCCTGGGTTCTTGTTCCGGGTCAGGACAGCCCACACGTGACCAAGCCAGAAGCTCGGGTCTCAAGGCCACCAGGCCCAGGTGGTCTCAAGGAGCGATGAAGGGGAGGGTTGTCCACTCTAAAACACAAAGTCATTGGTTTCCAAATGGAAACAAGATTCTTTGAGGTAAACTAGCTTTTTTTTTTTTTTTAAAGAATAGACGGTGGGACGAGCCAACAAGCTGATGAGAAACACGAGGAACGGGAGGGGAGAGAGGAGAACACACAAGGACACGTTCCCCTGCTTGGTCATGCGCCTGCACTGCGCTCACTAGTCCTGCTTTAGTCCTGTTTGGCAACGTGGTCTCCATGTCTTAGTGCCCTTGGCATTGCTCTGCAATAAATCCTCTGCTTTGAATTCTACAAAATGTGCTTGAGTCGGGAGATCAAAGACACTAACAAAAGACGTTCTAATTCCAGGCAAAGAGACCCACGGAAGATGAGCTGCATAGACCTGTCTATTTGCCAAGAGCATGTGCCTTTGCGTTGGGGAGACGAGACCCTCCATGACCACCCCCTAATGGCATCTCCCTGCAGTGTAGGGGAGGCTGATGGGACATTGGGAGGATTCAGCAATGTCACGGGCAGCCCGGAGCCAACGCAGGACAGATTGAAAGGGGGTGGAGTGGCGGCAATGTGGGGGCCCTCTGGGCCCAGGACACCTGGCCCGGGCCCACCTCACTCTCTCTGCCAGTACAAACAGAAAGCTCTCTTTTTATCCACTAGGGACTCTTTTGTTTTGTTTTGTTTTGTTTAAGTTTGCTTTGGGGTAGTCATTAGTCTATTCAAGGAATTTAATTGGGCCTCTAATAAGTATGTATTATTTCTACAACCAAAAAAACCCATATATTTTATAAACTTGGATAATCCTCCTAATAAAAAATAATTTTTAAGGAGCAGACTTTTAGGGAAAAAATTCTCTCTTGAATGTATGAAACATTTACTGCAGAGATTCCTTTCTGAAAAAGGAACAGTCACTTAATTTCCAGGGAAAGGTTTTGCCAACCTCTGAGCACCAGGAGGAGAAGAGGTTTGCGGTGGGCCTCTCTTAGGAGCTGCCTCCTCAGTATCCCCCGTGGCTGTACCTCGGCCTCCCGCCTGTGAAACAAGGCCCTCAAGTTTGCTGTACCTCGGGGGTGACGCAGCAGGAGGCAGAAGGCAGGAAGAGGAGGGGCAGCAGCATGGGCTCCAGCCGTCCGAGGGGCCTGGGAGGCGTGAGAATAGTAGCAGCCCTGGGGGATGCTTTGGCTGGCATGTCCACAGCCAGGAAGTGTCCTGACCATTTCTGGAATGACATGGGGAGGCCATATCCCCCGGCCCTGAAGCTCTCCTCATGCCATTGGAAGTCACAGGTGGAACTCTGTTTTTTCCTTCCCAACTAGTGATTTGGACTTTATATTCATACCTGGGCTCCCTCCCCGATTTTGAACTCTTAAAATATATAGATAAAAAGTAAAAACTACAACCACCCCCAAATAAACAGACCACACAGTTTAAAGGAAAAGGGAGGAGCTGGGCATCAGGGGCCCTTAGTCGCCTGTCCTGGGGGCTGACAGGGGGAGCGAGGGGCTGGGTGGAGGTCCTTGCCGTGAACTAGGAACTAGAGGAGAGGCCAGGAAGGGGCCAGGGTCTGCCTGATGTGTGTGTGGAGGAGAGGGGAGCGGAGTTCTTCTCGGGTGCCACGTGGGGGCCCTGGTACCTGGCGGTCATTCATTCCCAGAAGTGCATTTCAGAGACCACAGTGCGGCTGCTCATTGGTACAGCCCATTCCTGGAAGGGCCGCGGGGGGCGGGGGGCATGGCAGTGGGCGCTGCCTGCAGAGCGCCTCCCTGCGTCTTCCTTCCCTCCCTGGCTCAGTGAGGCAGGAGTGTTTGTCCTTGATTAATAATAATTCACTTTAATCCTCATTAGCTTACGTATTTGACTTTGCATCCTGGGAGGCCAAAGAAAGTGTCCCCTGAGTCCTGAGAAAGGAGAAAAGGAGACAGATGGGAAACAGGCTTTCTTTTAGGTCAAAGCAAGTGTTGTTTAGGCTTCCGGCTACATCAGCAGGACTTGCCTCTGCCCTAGCGTGGAGGTCATTTGGGAGACGGGGGCCCACAGGGTCCTTGCTGGACATGGGTGCCAGACCAGGCAGGGAGGCAGCGTTGGGAGAGTGGGTGGGCCTAAGACAGTCAGTGGGCTGGGCTGTGAGGGCTGAGCGGCCCACAGACGGGCTCCATGAGTCTGGCGCTTTAGTGGGCAGGGGCTACACGTGCAGGAGGAGGTGGGACAAAGGGACGGCACACTCCGAAGTCAGACATGCAAGGGGGACAGGAGCACAAGGACCCTGGCATGGGAAGGTGATAGGACAGGACGTGGACATGACCCCCAGGCTGGGAGGGGAGAGCTGGGGCTGAGGGGACGGGGTCAGAGCCCCTGCTCCTGCCTGGGTGCAGTCCCGGACAGCGCCTCCAACGTCGGGATGGATTCAGAATGCCTCTCTCTCAAACATGTTGGGCCTCGCTCACTGGCCCGCAGGCTCTGGGGCTGCCTGCAGCTGTGCGTGTCACTCTGGGGGTGTGAACGTACCTTGGCCTGTGGGACACTCAGGTGGTCCCTCAATTTAAAACCACATTGAAAGAGGGAGGCAAGAAGAAGTATTTTCCTGAGGAAGTAAGTGACACGACAGCCAGCCTCACTTAATGGCACTATTTGTTGTTGCCAACACACGCCGGGGTTCTCCTTACTACAGGGAAGGACAGAGTGGCGAAGCCCGTACCTGGGTGAACTTGTTAACCACCGCCCCCACACACAGAAATGACCAGCCTGCAGCCACCTTCCTCAGCTTCTTTCCCCTGTTCCTTCATGTCCAGGACCTCACAAAGCTCCCCCCACCTCCACCCCACCAGCCTTCAGCCCATCTCCCTCCAACTTAAAACCCCCACCTAAGCTACGTCAGTTCTTTTGACTGCATCATCTCCAGGTACCATGTTGACCTTGCTGGTCTCCACAGGAGGAGGGTGCAGGAGTGGGGTGCAGGAGGAGGTGAGAGGAGGGTGGCCTTTTCTCCCCTGCTCCCTGCCCAGGACTTGGGGAGTCTTATAAGATCCCACCTTAAACAGAACTGCAACCCTGCTAGTGAACTGTAACAGAGAGGAAAGCCTCGAGGGGCCCTCCCACCCCCTGGATTGCATCTGGTGCTACCGCCTGGACTGCGTCTGGTGCATGCTGGCCCCCAAGCCGTCTGAGCAGCCCTCCGGTCTGCCAAGAGATCAGAGGTTCCAAGGGGAGTCTGGGGAAGATTTGGGGGAAGGACAGCTTTTTGACAAAGCTGCCCTGTCTTTACTTTGAAACCTACCACATGCGCATCAAACCAAAGAAACAGAAAACAAACAAACAGCAAAAGGAAAGAACTTTTATGGGCCAGATGGGCTGTGGCTCTGCGTGACTCTGCCCTACTTCTCCGTCCCCTCCGTCCCCAAGCAGGCCGCAGAGATTGCGGGCAAACAGAGCCCGAGCAACAACCCATCCCACCAATTAAAGTCAGATCTGCCCAAACTCCTCCCCAGGAGAAAGGAGGAGAGCGAGGAAATTAGTCTCGTCTTCTCGCCCCTTCTTCCTGACCTTCATGTTTCTCTGAGGCGTTCCCCGTTTCTCTTTCAACAAAAAAAAGTTCAGTACCGACAAAGGAACAATAGCAATAATAATAATCCAGTAAAAAATAAAAGCTTCAGCAGAACCAATGAAACAGTCTTTTTTTTTCTGCTTGTTCATTTTTTCTCTATCTGTGCAAAACTTAAAAGTCAAAACATACACAGTCATACGTGCACTCACACACGCACACACAGCTTCATTCAGCAAATCTGTGTTAAATATGTTTGTGTCTCTCTCCTCCCCAACCCTTCACATGTGCAAAAACATTTTCGCGGCTGGGCTGCTTCCTCAGCCCGCCTTCCACATGCTTCCTGCCTGGCCTGCCAGGGCCCCTGGCTTCCTGGGAGAAAATCAAATGCTCAGGGGTAGAAATCCCATGCTTCTTCGCCTGGCACTTCCCTCGCCAAAACCTTTGGTTATTTTTTTCCCCCTTGACATGCATCTTTTCCCATTCTCCTCCGCGTCGTCCTGTTGGTTAAGGTTTCTTGAGTTTTGTCCACCATATGTCCTCCCTGATGCCATGTGATGCCCTGCTTGGGGTCACCACTGTTTGACCCCCAGTCAAGTCCAGGCCTCCCTCGGCCTGTGACCACCCTGATTTCCTACAGGCAGGTGACGTCTCATTCTACCCGCCAGCACTCGGTGTAGAAAGCAAGAGTTGAAAGTCCTGGAGCTGCAGGATGAGCTGATGAGCAAGGGGAGAGGAGGGAGAGAAACATCTGAGAATCCCCCTCCATGGGATAGGAAATCTTTTTGAGCTCCCGGGGCAGACACACACACGTGCACGAGTGCGTGCACATGAGCTCACACACATGCACACACAAGCATATCCAGAGGGGTGAGCATTCTTAAAGGAGAAGATGCTCCACAGACTCTGTTGGAAACGATGGGGCTCCTTTCCCTTCACATGTGGGGCTCCTCTGAGTGGATGGCAGGGAATGATGCCTAATGCTAGGGGTGTATGGGCAAGACTCATGCCCAACGCCACCTTAGACGATGCTCTTCCTTGCCTCCCAAGGTGTACAACTCCTCACCAGGGCTGCCAGAGAGACCTTTGCTTGTGGTGGGAGACTGGACCAGATGGTCTCCAAGGCCCCCTCACCGTTCCAGTTTTCCATGACCGTCCTCAGAGCATCTCACTGCAGCCCCTGCTCACCCAGGCCCCATGTCTGAGCACACATCTACCTGGCTGGCTAGAATGTTATATCCATAGATGGAAGGACAGATGGAAGGGAAGGTGCTAGGGCAGAGGTCAGCTGTATGTTCCTCTTCCCCTTTCTGGCCATGTCCTTCGACTTGGCTTTTCGGGCCTCCCAGATGTGACAAGCCAGGGCTGAGTCTGGTTGGCATTTCGGTTTGTCTCTAGAAGGCTGTGCTTGAGTGCATTTCTTTCCATGATGACTGCTAAGAGATGAGGGAGGAAAGTGACTGAAGAGACAGCTGAGATGTTGATGAAATCCTTCCCCAGGAGGTCTGGACAGGCCAGTGGCAAAGCCATCCGCGTCACGGCACCAGGCTCTGCAGGGGGAACAGAGGCGAGGCTGTCTGCACCAGCCTGCTGGAGAGTGCTCAGGAAGGGTGGTGGAGGTGGAGCCGCAGGGACAGCTGCAGGTAGAACCTCCTGGATGCCTGGGTGCACCGTGCATTTTGTGTCAACCTTCAGGGGGCGATGACCAAAGGGGATGGCGGTGCCCTCTCTAGACACCTAGAGGATCCAGAAGCACCTAGAAGATCTCTAGAGGATCTGACAGTGGTACAGCCATAACTACGGTCATCATTCATTTGCACTTGGGAGCGTGAATGGAAAACAACAAATTCTGTTCACAGAGTAGATGAGCTCTCTTCTTCTCCCCCTGCCTGTCACACATCTGCCGCCATGAGCCAGATTAGAAGGTTAGGACTTGTCCCCGTGGTGGAACGTAACTGCTGTTCTTTCTCCTGTCTGGCTTTCCAAGGGTGGGGGAGAAGGCTTGGCAGGCAGGTCCCTGTGGGCACTTGGATGAGCTCCAAGAAGACTGGAAGGGGACAAAGGGGCCCCTGGCTGCCAACCCGAGTGAGAGACAGCTCACAGAGCACCTCCCAACTCCTCACCCCCTGCCCCCAATTCCGGTCATACGCAAGAGGTGCGACCTTTCTTCTCACAGTTGCAAAGGGACTGACCCCTTGGAGATGGAAATGTGGGATGGGAGAGCCAGGTGATGTCTTCCCACCAAAGGTAATACTGAGCTCACTGCCTCTTCTCTAGGCCAAGGTTCGGACCAATGTGGGGCTCTCAAGAAGTGGAGGGTGAAGTAGCAGCATAGAAACATCCTCTATCCGTGTCTCCTCATCCATTCGTGGGCCCTGTTGCTGACACATGGGGTCAGCTGGATCAGAGAGCCCCCTCGGAATCTTCTGGTCAGGTCCCTCGCTGCGGGACTGGCCATCCTGGACTAGCTGAGGGCTGGTGGCTTGGTTCAGTTGTGTTGGCTGAGCAACTGAAAAAGAAGAGCCCTAGGAAGGAGGGAGAGGCAGAAAGAGGCAGAGAGAGAGAGGGAGAGAGAGAGAGACAGCGCTGCTTGGGGATGCTGCTGACGCCAGTCGGAACTTGCACTTGGTAAAGATGATAATCTAGACTGAGGCACGGCTTGGTGTGTCCCTCCCTCCAGGGGGGCCCTGGAAGGACGGTTCTCAGCTGTCTAAGCTCATGAGGGTTATGACTTGTTCTAGTTTGTAGGCCAGTTTCTGCTTCCCACACTGGTCATCGTGGTCCAGAGGTCCAAGGATCTGTTGAAGGGGCAACGACAGGGAGGTTACCAGTTTGTACGTACATGCCCGTATGCTTAGGGTGTGCACAGGAGGGGGACATCATCTGGAGGTGTGGGAAAACTTGTGCACGTGGAGATTTGCACACGAAGTTGCTGGGTAGACAGAGATGGAAAGTGTGGGGCACGGGTACAGTGTGTGGGTACCCGTTTGTCCACGAGCACAGGATGTCAGCACACGCATCAGCCTGTCTGAGTAAACGTGTACATTTCACTGCCCCCTAAGACAACCGATAGTGGGCAGAAGATTTTCCAGTCACCTGCAGGTTAAACCTCAGATGGTTCAATACCCCTGCGTCTCAGGGGAATGTGACTGTGGAGATTAAGAAACTCTACCCCCTCCTCCAATAAAGGACAACCTTAACTCATTTGGCTTCACTTTGTCTGTGGAAAAACAAATACTGCTGGAAGCTTAACGTATCTTAAGCTGTATTGGTCATCAACACCTCACGGAGAATGTCTGCCAGAGCCTTTTCCGAGGTCAGAGGGTTGGTGGAAGACAATGACAGAGAGCGTTTGTGCCAAAGGGAGAAAAATGTGTTCAGAATGGACTCAGATTCAGGAGATGCGGGATTGAGTAAGGGGTCCACCAGTCCCCCGCTGGTGATCTGGGACGGGACATGTAACCTCCCTGAACCCCATCTTTGCTGCCTACTTTCTCACCTGTACAACGTGGGAACTGCCAGCCCTGCTCTGGGCTGCTCCAGGGGAGAGGACAGTGTCAGGTAACCTACGTGAGCACCCTTCCCACGATGCCTGCTCCAGGAGAGGTGCACAACCAACAGGGGTGAGTTTACTGGGGTCGGGCCCAAGGGGAGGGGGGCAGCTGGGGGAAGGAGAGAAGGAAAAGGCTGAGGGCTTGAGGGGAGGCTCCCAGAGCTCTGGATTTCCTGGCCCAGTTAATGTATTTTTAACTGGGGAGAACAGAATAGACTTGGCAACTTCTTAGCTGGCCAAGAATCACCAGTTACTGGCACCAACATTTCACAAACATAGGCTATTTTAACACCAACGGTGGATGAGGGCTGTCATAGACGAAGGGACTGCTCTTTCCAAGATGAGTCAGTTGTACTCACACACTGGCACACTCTGCATTGTCCTTACTTCTGTCCTGTGGCCACAGACTGGTATGGACTTTGTTCTGGGCCAGCACTAGCCCGCAGGCTGGTATTGGGTCCCTCCCCTAAGGTGCCCATCACCGGCTTCCCCTCCACTTGAGGCTCACAGCACTATGTGTGACACTAGACCCTGCACCCTGCTGGGGCTCCTTCCCCAACCTCTCTGGGTGGCGAGGCTGCCAGCAGGAGGTAGAGTGCCAGGGCATAGAGAGGGCAGTTATGCTGCTGCTCCGACGCAGGGCGCCTGGACCTGCACCTACTTGGTCTGTGCCTGCATGACCAAGAAACTCCCATAAGCACCTCTGTGCTGACCAGAAAGAAGGCAGTGAGCTCAGGTGAGGTTTCCAACAGGGAACACAGCAAGTGCTCTGTGTCTACTCTGTTCTCTCCCGTCCTGTCCCATCCCATCCCATGTGGCTTGCCCATGGGGGAGGGGAGTTGCTTATTTTAAAAAATTAGATCAAAGAGAGAAATGGAAAAAAAATGAGAGGAAATAGCAAGGAAGAAACAGGGGGAGAAAAGAGAAAAAGGAACAGCTACTGGATCTATGTATCTGAGAGGCGCAGAGATGAATGCAGAGTGTCTGGAATGGAACGTTTCCACTCCGAGCCTTTGCAGCCCAGCCCCAGTCCCCAGAGGCAGTTTCCCCAGCAGTGGTAGGAGGGGTCTGAGGGCGGTGCGCTTGGCCCCAGCAGCAGGGCAGGGCAGGGCTCACCTCCTCACTGTACTTGCCCACGTAGGAGAAGATCTCCGAGAGCGCGCTCATGGTGTTGAACTCATTCATGTGCATCCGGGACTGCTCGGCCAGGTATGCGTTCATGTCCTGGTCGCTGATGGCCGGCATCTTCCCGATGTCTGAATAATACCTGCCAGGGTGGGGGTGGGGAAGAAAGCGGCTGCAGCTGTGCACATGGAGGAGAGGAGAGGGGGACACCACGGGCACTGTGTCTGAGGCCAGCGGATGCCTGCGTGTGACCCTTGGGGACCACAGTGGCCGCACTCCCGTCTGGACTGCTGGGCCTGCCCTCTGTCGCTCTGGGTGCAGGAGGCACAGAGGGGAGCGGTGTGGGGAGTGCGCCAGACACTGTCAGAGGGTGACCAGGGGTGGGGCCGGGAGCAAAGGGGAGGCATTTCCTGCAGCAGTTTTGCTCCCAGCTAGGACCAGTCGGTCTCCCGTGACCCTCTAACACCCCTTCCCTCGGACGTAAGAGGTCCCCTCCACAGGCTTGAAAGGCTCTTCCAAGCAGTGGCTCTGTCGTGATGTCTTCCCCTCCCTGGGGTTAACCAGGAGGAGCCGGGGGCTGCTTGGGGAGAGAGGCAGGCAGAAGGCAATCAGTCACTGTCACTTGCAGCTGTGCAGTGCTGTCAACTGGTTAATTAGATGCCAGCATTTACATTTTTAATTTCTGCAATTTGACATTTTATGCAGCAAACCCCGACTCTCCTGCCAGAGGGGAGCCATGCAGTTTCCTAATGAGGAACCGAGGGGCCCAGGGGCCTTGAAGACAGCCACACCTACCCTCTTCCGGCGTTTCTGGGTGGGAGCCACAGAACAGGGACCAAGCACCCACAAAGGCAGGGGGCGTTGGGACAGTGGGGAAACGCACCCAGGCGGCCCTGCAGGACCTTCAACGCTGGGGAAAGCAAGCCCAAAACCTCAGCTAGAGGAGGGTGCAGGGACCGTCTGCAGGTGGGGACTAGAATGAGGCATCTGGGGCATGAAGTTTTACACTCTCACCTGTGTGAGTGCAGGTGACAATGACAGGCCCTGGGAGCTCCCCAAACGCAAAGCTTGATCAGGTAGGTGTAGGGGCATTTTCAGAGGCTCCGCTACAGTCTCACCCCGGACTCCAGCCCCATGTCCCTCCTGCCCTGACCATGAGTCCATCAGTGCTGGTCCCCCCACCTCTACAGCTCCCCACTGGTGCCCAGGAGCTGGGTGACAGGCCAGCACTGGTGGCACTCGGGTGCTACTCCAGCCATCATGCTCAAGGGGCTGCAATGGAATGACAGTTCAGGTGGCCGCCAGAGCGTTCAGGGGGCCGGTGGGGGCAGGGTGGCCGCCCTGCTTGGAGCCGCCGCCCTGCTGTGACTGCAGTCCTGTCGCTTTGGTTGGAAAATGAGGAAGGCAGCGGGAGGGAGATGAAATCCTCGCCCTCCGGCAAGGAGGGGCCGGCTGGAGAGACACTCGGGTCCCTCAGGAGCCCGCCGCACAGACATGCTCGCCAACTGCGTTGTCAAGCTGATTGTGTTTTGGCGGGAGGTCTCGGCCCCTGACAAGCTGTCGAGATAGGCACAAGGACAAGAGCCTGATGAAATGGCTTCTCTCAGAGGAGCCCGGGGACTCGGGAGGGGCGGTCCTGCACAGTCTCAGCGGGACTTCCAACCTGCACAACCTTCTTTCAGTGTGGGGTCCTCTGTCCCCTGGTCTCGCCTCATCTTCACAAGTCCTGGGGCCTCTGTTCCTTGCCCCCTTTCCTTCTGGTTCCTTGGCTCCATCCCAGAAGAACCTGCTCCCCCGGGCCACCCACCCCCAAACGTCCCCAGTGCTTCAGGAAACGGAATGAGACACCAGGTATAAACTTCCAGCCAGAGACCCGATTCATGGCCACTATTTCTGGAATACAATAAACGCCAATGTTCCGTTTCATAGTGGAGACCTGGGGGTTTCTGCAGTCACTCTGAACCTGGTCACTCCCGAGATTTGTGTCATCGTCCCCTCACGATTCCATGCCCACTGAGCAGAATATGTTGGTCAGGTAAAGGGTTACGTTCTCAGGTCGTGTTGGTCAAGAACATGAGTGAAGGGCTCCCACTTCTGTCCCACGGCCGGCAGCCAGACGTGGCTTTGGGAACACAGCCGGGCACAGAGATGCCCCCCCCACTGGCAGTTACACTCTGTCACCCTGGGCAGTCAGAGCCACTGACCAGGATGAAAACCCAGGTCCCCCCTGATAGGACGTGACTGTCACCAGAAGCAAGATTCCTGCCCTGTCCGCTACCTGCCCGTGAACCTTTCACAGGTAAATGGATAGTTCTGTCAGGCTTTTGGCCAACACTAGGACTCCCTCCCTCTTCTGCCTTTCTGGTCCCTGGGGTATGTGAGAGCCCAGGTTATGGACCACGTCTCCATGGAGACAACAGATGCCCACACTCTGTCCCTTTGCCATGGCTCACTGAAAGCCCAGTCCATTTCTCCAAACAGAATATTTAGAAAGCATGCCTGTGTGAGAAAGGGAGGGCTGGGGGCGGGGCAGGGTTCGGTAGAGTAGGGAGAGGATGGGGGTTTGGATCTCCATGTGTGACAACCCTTCCTGGCTTCGCTTTGCATAGTCTCCCTAACTGTGAGGTCGGGGCCACGCTGAGCAGCCCCCGTGCCTCCTCTGTTGCTTATGTGGGAGGCGCTGGATTGGACCAGTGCTTGTCTGCAGCCACAGACTAGCCCATGAGTGGATCAACAGCATGTCTTCATTTCCACAAGTTCTACATCGCTGACTGAGCACAATACGCTGGATGACTGTGGCACTTGAAGACCTTCTGTCCTGTTCTCATCCCAGCCCTGTGGTGCTAGGTGGGCCCATCCTGCCTGCAGGGTTTCTCCACCCCTTCTTTGACCTCTCCCTACTTCCCTCCACCCCTTGAACCTGATAATGACTCTGCCCTAGCTTGGCTCCACTGAGTGCCAGTTGCTTCCTCCTCAGCTTTTGCTGTGCTGGGCTCCACCACCGAGGAGTCTTATTGATTGCAAAGAATGCAATTATTCCCTATTAATGAACTTCAAACAACTGTTATTATCAGCTGGGTGTGCAGTGAGGAAGGGAAAGGTCAGCCTGAGCCCTTGTACTTGAACTTGCTCCTATAACATTTCTGCCTGCAGGTGAATCCTGCTTCAGAAGAGATGGGTTTCCTGAAAGTCCCCAGGACGTCCCTTGAGCTGGCCAGGGCCTGGCAGGCTGGCCAAAGCTGAGCCTGCTGAGGAGGTCCAGGCCCCATCATTGGCCTTACCCATCTGTCTTTGCTGCATTTGCTCAGACAGGGTGGGTGCCTGCACCCTGTGGTCCGACATCAGTCCTGGGGGAGCCGCTCTGGAGGGAAGGGCCCCAGCGAGCTGGATTCTCCACTGCTGACCAGTCTGCAGTGTTTCACGCCTGTGGGTTGCTATGGGATGGGCCCTGTGTGTGGCAATCAGTGTCTCATCCCTACTTTTGGGATCAAGAAGGTGGTCTCCAAGCACTGAACTCTTAGAGAAGAGCAAAGTATTCTCATCCCTTCAGACACCTCAAGACAAAGAGCAGACGTGGTAAACATTGGTGCCTGGGGCTCTGAGGTCCCCAGACACTTGCCTTTCAGGGCCCTGCCCACATGTCTCTCGCTTCGTGAGTCATTCCCGGACCTCGGTCCCTGAGCGCCCCACCGTGATGGCCCGTGGGGTCGCCCAGTGCCTGTCTGTGTGTCCTGCACCAGGAGAGCCACAGGGAAGGATCACGTCTCATCCGTCCCGAGCCCCCGGTGCGCCCATGACGGATACGGTGCGTGTTTGGCCCAGGGATTAATGAACAAGTTGATGAAACGTCTACACTTCACCTCCAGTATTGCTCCCAGGGTGAACTGTCACAGCTTTATGTTTGGAATAGATGGTTTCCTTAGGAGGCATATTTAAATATTTAAAATTCTTAACCTTTCTCATGCGGCGACACATGTGATTGATGGCATTCATATGTGCAACACGCCCCTCGCCCGATCCCGGGTGGGCCAACTGTGACTCTGCTGCACGCGTTCTCCATGGAAAGCCTGTGGCTGCAACCGAGTGAGGCTAATGTGGCCACGGGGACAACCCTGAGGCTCTTCCAATTTAAAACAAGAGGAAATTACTACCGAACACGAACACTTTACTGCTATTGGTAATGAAATAGAAATTATAACTGATCGCGGCACACCAGTTTGCGGGGACGACATGGCTGAGCGCTGCCCTGTGAGAGCAGTGGAGCCATGGCCCGCTGCTGGGGAACCAAGGGCTCTTCTCCTCTCTCTAGGTGCGGCCGCGGGCAAAAGTGCTGATCCTTGAATGGAGGCAGCTGAGATGGGGAGTCTGCAGAGGGGCCACCAACCATTCGCACTGCAAGGCATTTGGAGGCAGAAAAGGGGTGGAAGAAGGTGACAGAGGCTGGGTAGGTAAACTTCTAGGAGATACAAATCAGTAACTAGGCTGCTCAGCCAACAGAGTTATGAGGCCTCCTAAATCCATATGCTTTCTACCCCTGTGACAGACAGGGCTAGTTGGGGTAAACCCTGTCTCTCAGCTGTGATGGGACAGAGGGCCTCTCCAAAGTGTGTAGGGTGCAGTGAGTTACTAAGCCTGAGTCCTGTGCAGGCTGGTTGCATGCTCACGGCACCCAGGTAGTGAATTCGGAGGTGCTCGAGCCCTGGCCACAAAAGGAAGGGGTGCTACCATTGTACTTCTGAACTGGGGGTGGTGGGAGACCAGGCTTGCTGTGGGTCCTGAGAGAGTTCCCTTCCCCTTTCAGCGATCCAGACAAGCTCCGGGGCCAGTCTCCTGGGCAGTGAGAAGAAAACGTATCCATCATCACCAAGTGAGAAGCACTCTGGGCCTGCTCCCCAGACCCATCACAATGGTTTCCCCACCCTTCCACCTATGTCCCCTCATCCCAGAATGATAGGCGAAGGGGTTTGGGACCTCATGCAAGAGGAAAATGACTTTCCTGAGAGTGCTATTGGTTGCTAAGGAACTGGCAGGATAAGAAGTGGAAACCATCAAGCCACGCCTGAAAATAACCAAATGGACCGAGGTTACTCATGACCTGTAGCAGCTGCGTGGCACAAATATCATTTAGCACCAAGTGAGAGGGAGCCCATTAGCCTGATGCATGCATTATCCTGATCTCCAGCTAAGTGGCTGTGTTCCGGGCAGTGTCCTCTCTGCAGGTCCTTCCTAAATGCTCCGGCCCTTCGCACCCTGGCTCCCTGCCTCCCTGCCTCCCTGCCTGAGGTCCTACCATGGAGACCTTGCATCGGTGCCTGGATAACCAAGAACCCCGATGCTGCCTCTCTCTCTCTCTCTCTCTCTCTCTCTCTCTCTTTTTGCTGAAGAGCCAGCTGACCACACAGGAGGGCCTCCTCCTGGCCCTTCCACTGGCAGAAGAATGAGCCACGGTCTACACAGAGGAAGGTCAGAGCCTTTCTCGGGGATTCAGACACAATCAGGTACAATGACAAAAGAGTTAGCTCTCTCACAGCCCCGGCTGCATGCCCACCCCATGCACGAGCAGGAACGGGCAGGGAGGATGTCAAAGAACAGAGGGGAGAGGGAAGAAAGGGAAGTCAACCCCTGTAGCAGGACTGTGTGACTGAGGTGACCGGGACCCCAGCCCTCTCAGTCATCTCCTCTGTACAGGGAAGGCAAGGTACAGGTATAAAGATGTCTCTCTGCCAGCAGCGAAATGATACAGTTCATTTTCTCTTTCTTTGGTCGCCAAGTCAGGAACAATTTCTGGTCTCTTTAACTCTTCAAAAAGGCACCGAACCCGAGCTTCCACCCAGGTTTTCTATCTTTGAGCTACTTGGAAAAAAGAGAAAGGGACTCTAACGTCAGGACTGTCATGTAGAGTTGTGCGGCGGGCTGTTCGCCGTGCAAAAGAATTCAACAAACCATGCACCCTGGCGTGGGGCCACGTCCTCCGGCAGGAAGGGCACCTTCCTTAATTCACACAGAGACACCCTACAGGGTGGCAGAGGCACGCTGTCTTAAAGTATTGTAAGTAGTAGAAAAGAGGTTTGGGAGTCAGCTGAGTGGGGGGATCACTTGGATCTTGGCCACTGAAGTCATCTTGGCCATTCTGTATGTGTATTTCCTCACCTTCACGGGCGGAAAATGAGGTTATAAGTCCTGACCTCTCCTATACCAGGGCTACCACCATGAATAAATTAATAAAGCATCATCTGTTTGCTTAGCTCGAGTGCTTGGCATAGGGAGCTGATGTGGTACAGACAAACCAACAATGTTCTTTACCGGGAGTTAGCTTCGTGCCAAGATGACCCAGCTCCACAGCCTACAGGTGGCCTCTAGTCTCAGGTGCACTGCATGGGACTGTGATTAGATCAGGGACTGCAAGGCCAAGGGCATCAAGAGCTCACAGTGTGAGAGTCCAGGGACTGGGGCAGTGAGAAACTGTTCAGAGTGACAATGACATCCCCACAGAACCCTGGGAGAACTGCCAGATGGACAGGGGCAGATGGGGAGAGGCCTCCAGCCTTTTTCAGTGACAAGATGTTATTCAGTCCCTTGAAGTCTTTTTTACTATTTATTTTTGGTAGGGATTAGAGCTGGGGACTGCATTTCCTTCCTGAGCCTAGAAAGTGTTTTGGTCACTAAGATCTGGGCCTTGCATGCAGGGAAGCAGGGCCTGGTGGCCACCTCTAGCCAAGTTTCTCGCTTCTTGTTCAACTGACCAAACCGGCTGCCTAGGGTGTGGATGCTGCAATTGCCGATAAGGCTTGGTGAATGCCCCATCTGTAAGCCCCGCCCACTGTGGAGGAGGAGCCCGGGCCCAGCACTTACCTCTCCACCCAGTTCTTGTAGCTGGGGATGTCCTTGGCGTAGAGCAGCTTGTTGGAGGGCGAGTCCTTGCCCAGCCGGTGCTCCGACGTGGAGCAGGAGTCCATGAAGGTCTGGGCCACCACGGAGAGGCAGGCGTCCGTGATGCTGTTCTTGTGGATGTCAAACACAAACTGGGGGTTCTTGATCATGTTGACCCAGAACCGCAGTGGCAGACTGTGTGGAGGGAAGAGGCAGACGGTCAGGAGAGATGGTGTGGCGGGGCTGTACGCTGGCCTGGAGAGCTCTCTGGAGAAAGAGAAGAGGCTGGGCACCAATAGTTCTTAAAGGCCGTGTCTATGCGGCTAATTAACCTTCCAGGAAACTGAGGATCACCAAGGCCGAATAGCCAGTCCAGAGATCAATGCGCACAGGTACTGGAGGGGGCGTGGCGCCAGCTGGGACTGTGGGAGTCAGTCTCGCCTCGGAGCACAGGCTCTGGGGTCGGAGGAGCTATGAGTGCTGTGAACTGGAATTTCTGACTCTCTGTTCCTCTGTCCGACTCCTATGCCAGATGCAAGGCATCTCCACTTGGCAAACCTTTAATGAATGGCCTGGAATCTAGGCTTTGTGTCGCATTCTCTGCCTCCCACTGTAGGACTCGGGAGACGTCACACCCCTCTTCCCCGCCTCGGCACGTCAGCGTCTTCCCACAGAGTGAAGGCACGAGAGGGGAGCGGTTTGAGAGGAGCTGACTCGGCATCGCCCACCTGGCCGGCTTAGAAAACCCAGCTTCTCGGTCCCACGTCTGCCCTACCGTGCCCTCTCCTTCTCCCTCTTTCTTACAGTTGGCACCTACTGTCTACCAGGAACTGTGCCGGCAACGGGGGATACAGTGTGAATAAGACAGATCCTCTAGCTCTCCAGGGAAGTCAGGCACGTAATCAAGTACGCACGCTAAGAGCCGTCCATGCTAGAATCGAAGGGCGTGTGGGTCCATCGTGGGACACAGGGAGGTGTCATCAAGTCCACCCAGAGGGAAGTGTCCGGAGAGTCTCCCCAGAGGGAATGGCACTTGACAGTTTGGGCTTTAACGGTGCACGGCTGCGCCTTAGCTGGATGAGGCTTGGAAGAAGGTGGCGGGGGAGGAAGGTGCTGCTGGCAGGGGACTCAGCTAAACAGACGAAGAGCAGCGGCACTGTGCACGGTGGTCTGGTAACTGCCAGTCCTCTCTGTTGCTAGAAGGGGTCCCCGGGCATTGGGAGAAACCTGCCCGCCTGCCCTTTGGGCTGTCCTCCGCTGGCTCTCCGATTCTGTGGCCTCCACCCGGCCACCGAGACGCAGGCAAGGAAGCCGGGGGCACCCAGCAAGGGATCTTTATTTCCTTCCCTCTGCCCCTACCTCCTCTCCTCCTGCCTCTTCCCTGATGTTTTATTGTTGGTTTGGTTGCCGTTCTCTCTGTTGGTCGTAGTTATAATGTTCCTGTGGGTTTGGCTTGCCTCTCAGAACTTAAACTCTTTGAATTACATCATTTCAATACAGAGGGCATGACATTCTATGGGTGTGATATCTCCCAACAGTCAGTACCTGCGTGCAGCAAATGCTATAAATATGTCAGACCTTACCCTTGAAATGGTCAATCCATCAACAAGTATTTAAACTCCCACAGAGTGTGTATCTCAGGGTGTGGGCAGACAGCACTGAGTTCCGACACTGTTAAATGGCACCTGTTTCAACCCAGGAAATTCAGATAGGACATCAAAGGGCAGTCGTGACCCCGGGGAGAAAGTTGGGGTCCCAGCAGCTGCCTGGGGAGACTGTGGCAGCCGGGCTCAGAGCCCTGGAGGAAAGGCTCCCAGCTGCCCAGCCAGAAGAGCCTCCAGTCCACGTCTCCCTGATCCCAGAAGTCCCACCGGGAGGAGGGACCCTGAGAGTCCATCTTGGCTGCATGGTGGTCTCCCCCCAACACTCACTCTCCTTCAGCCAGTTGTGCTGACAGGCAAATGAAGCCAGGAAGCCAGGGCACCACACGGAGTCTCCTGCCTAATGAAATATTAGCATATGATTAACATTAGCGGTGGCACTAATCTCTGGTTGATTGCAGCCACTCGGGCTAAATGAGCAGGAGGTTTGTTTAAAAGCGAGAAGGTAGGAGAATGGTGGAGGAAGGTGGCGGGAGTGGGTGAGTTACAACTTTGGCTGGGAATAAAGAGACAATCTCTTTCCAATCAGAGTCAATATGCAGATCTCATCACTCCTGGGCTCACTGCTTCTTGCTAGGGCAGCAACAATGAGGGCTGGGGGGTGTCCTTTGGTGAAAGACCCTGAGCCTGGAACTGCCCTCCACTGCCTGGCTTTCCTTCACCGGGACTGACGTTCTCTAGGAACTGAGGTCCCGAGTACTCAGAAGAACTGGCTCGGAGCGGGGCTGTGCCCCCCACCCCAAGGACACAGTGACGTCCTGTGGTGCCCCACCCCAGCAGGAGGCATGCGCTGAAACACACAATTCGGACACTAGTGCGGGTGACCTACCTGTAACGTGCTACAAGGGCATGTAGGGATGTTTTGAAAACACCAGCTGTCCCCAGCCAGACCAAGAGATGTCTGCAGACCGCTGACATTCACAGAGGTCGGTAAGTAGGAAAACTCACCGGCAGAGAGGAGCAAATTCGGTAGGTGGGGATCTGCCCCTGGGAATAGCTCTGCCTAAGGTTGCTAAGCACAGCCTTAGCTGGCGGCAGGCAGGTGGGTGTCTTGTGAAGCTCCAGGCTGGTTGTAGGTGTCCCTGGCTGGGCCCCAGTGCCACGCCAGACCATGAACTTGGCCGACCTCCCTGTCTTGCCCCCTGCTCTTCTTTCACTCACCAGTTGCTTTTCCAGGTGTGGCGGACATGCGGGTCGTGAATGCCATGCTTATCTGCCTGCTCGTCCAGAAAGTCAAACATGTACTTGATGGCCAAGGGCAGGGCAGAGCCGCGGTGCGCCGTGCTGAAGATGGTCTCAAAGAGGTCGTCCACGAACTTCTGCAGCGTGCCCTGCGGAGGCAGCACAAGTTCACACGCAGCTCCCGCAGGGAGCGCTCGGGATGATGGCTTTACAGCCTGCCACGCAGACGGGATGGGAGGGCAGCATGGAGCCGGGCCAGCTTGGGTGCAATCGGGTAGTGCGTGAATCCCATCCCCCCACCCCCTTCATCTGTCTCTGACAGCTTTACATTTCCTCTGCACGTGGGAACTAGACACACCGCCGATGACCGGACCTCACCAAGCCTTCCTCTGCCAATGACACGGATGGGCTTAACGCCCTTTGGCGGGCGGTGTCATTTCAGCACTTTTCCGAAATGCTAATGAGCAACTCTCTCGGTCAGAGCAGACAAACACAATCTGCTGGTTTTGTTTGGGCATGGCTCGCTCTGGCTAAGGAACAGTTACCCACTTGGCTGTGCAGAGAGCAGAGCCCGGGCCAGCCTCAGGAGCGCAGGCCCAACGGCAGGCTCAGAATGTCCTCGGAATGGGGACGAGAAACGGTGCCGCTGTGGGGGCCCCATCCGCATCACTGGAGAGCGTATGTATGACACCCAGGGACAGGAGTCGTTCTCTCAGAAGGATGGCAGAAGAACATGAATAGATGTGGCTAGTGTCTCTGTGTTTGAGAACAGGGCGCAGAGAAGGAAAGAAAACCTCGGACTGCACAGCTGCACTGCCATGGGGCTGGGGTTTGCCTGGAGTGCGGGGTTGAGAAGGATTCTGAGGTTCTGTGCTGGGAAGGAGCACTGGGCTGCTGGGCAGGGCCCACCATGCGTGGATAATGGAGGGGCACCAGCACTCATGCTGGGTCTTGGCGGCTGGGGCATCTCTGGGGGGTGGGGAGGTCCCTCTGCCCATACTCACGTGGGCCCCGCCCCCTGTCTGAAGTCCATACCTTAGTGGCCAGTAGCCGTGTCAGATAGATTTCAGATACCATCTTGCTCCCCCGGTCACCCTCCTTCTGGTCCCCGTGCTCGTGGTTCTTCACCAGGTGCCACATCTTGACTCCGCTCTCCAGGTCGGGGGTGATCATGGGCGTGCGTGAGCGGAGGCTGTCGGGACTGCCCGTGTACCGGATCATGTTTTCTGCCAACGCAACGGGCCATGCGTGTGAGGCCTCTCAGCCCTCCTTACTCACAACGCACCCCCCACTGCAACCGAGGCCAACTTCTGTGGGGTCCTTCCTGCCACTTTCTGCCGCCCTCATCTTGGCTTGGGTCACTCCATGTCGGGTGGGGAGCTGACGTGACTTTCCTGCCACCTCCGGGAAACTCTGGCCACTCCACCCACACCACGTCCCCTCCTCCTCCACTTGCTTCTCGCCAGCCCTTAATTATTCAATTTGTAAAAATATAAGCTTGTCCTCTTCTACACTTTTCCTTGTAAGAGTTCTCGAGTCATGTCTCGGGATGTGTTCTGTGTAGCCAATTAAGTACAAACGTAAGAGCAGGTAACCTGTCTCCCTTAATGACTGCGGACCAGCCGAGTAATTGTCTTGTCAGCTGCTCACCTTCACCCTCCGCTCTGGCCTGGGCCAGTTCCTCCCCCCGGGGTTGCTGAAATGTGAAGTCTGGTGAAATGAGTGGTGAGCGGGAAAAGAGATGATGGTCCTACTGTGTGTGGGCACTGCTCTGGGTTTTCTTCTCCTGATTTTCCAGAATGAGCCTGTGACTTGGGTAGTTTTTTTTCAAGCCCTGTTCTGGTGAGAAAAGCGGGTCTCACAGCGGCCAGGCAGCTGGCCCCACGGCACACAGACGGCGGAGCAGGGTGGCACCTGGGCTTCCGGCCCACATCCAGTGCCCTCCCCCAACCCCACAGAGCCAGGGGCCTGGGGCCTGTACCTTCCCTTAAATGCTTCATAGCAGTGTGACCTTTACACGTTGGGTAGCCTCTGTGCATCTGAGTTATAATTTGCTAATCTGCATAATAGGGGGAAATAATTATTTAATGTGCTGGGTTGTTAGGAACCTGACACACGATAATGAGTATCAGTAAGTGAAAGCATCTTCTTGTCTGTAACATGCTCACGCAGGCTAGAGTCGCTGCCTGTTCTGGGGGTGGGGGTGTAGGTTCTGCTCCTTCGTCAGAGTTCCTGCCCAGAACCAGGGGCCTCCTCCCTGGCCCGGCTCTCCTCTCCTGTGCTCAGCTCGCCCGCCCCACCCCCCAACTCCCTGCCCCTGGGGGTCCACTGCACTGACAGCAGCTGCTCGGGGCACCCTCTCCTCCCCAGGACGGCTCCGTGAACTCACCGTATTTACTGGCCGAGGTCCTGGAGACGGTGGAGTTGTTCACTGCGTTATAGGCCGTCACCTGCTTGGACACTAGAGCCACCACAGAGCCATCTGGCACCTATGGGGGGGAAAGGTCACTAGGGACTGGGCACAGAAGCTCTGCCACCCCAGCAAGTGTGGCCAAACCAGGGTTAACTTGGTCCCCAGGGGCGGTCAGCGCCTCGCCAGAGAACTAGGAGACTTGGGAGGCTGTCAGCTCTCCTCCGAGTGACACAAGACAGACCCGGACACTGCGCAGTTTTCTGTGCTGTGACTCAGGCTTGGAGAGACTCTGGCAAGGGCTTCTCCCTAGCACCCTCTCTCCTGATGCTTCCCTGAGAGCACCCAGCCTTAAACTCCAGGGACCATCCCGGAAAGGGCCCAGCCACCTACAACACTCAGGCTTGCTGACGGATTGCACACGGGGAACCGGGAGCCTGTTTCTCTGGCAGACTCTGCCCGTGTCCTGCAGGAAGCATGTCGGTCAGCATCCTATCTAAAAGGAGGCTACAGGGCGTTGGTTTTCTCTGGGTCACTAAGGGAACATGAGGTGCTGGTGAGGAAGTGGAGTTTAGGGCTTGGTGTCTAGTCAGGGCCGGAGAGACCCTGTTATTATTCCGGGACCGAGACTGCCGGGGCCCTGGCTGCCCTGCGAGCCCGCCCCTCCTCCCTTCCAATCGTCTCACCTGGTAATGCGCCAGGGTGTTCAGTCGCTTCCAGTCATTCTCGATCTTGGTGGTGATGTCTTCATCCTGCAGGATCATCCTCGCCCCGCTGCCTTGTCGCCACTCTGTGGGAAGAGCAGCGGCAGCTCAGAGAGGCCCTCAGGCCCCTCCGGTGGGGGTCCTGAGGTCTCCTGTGCAGGCACCCACACAGCCCATCTCCAGGAGCGTCCACAGACAGACTGGGGCTGGCAGGTGCTCCCTGAGGAGGGGGTGCAGGAGCTGTCGCTGGAGAGAGGCCCTGAGCTCCAGTTCTGGTTTTCCTCCCAACAAACCGTGCGAAGGAACAGGAACATCATCACCTGACCAGCCCTGCCCACCTGCTCTCTAGGAGAGGCCACCTCTGCAGGAAGTAGGTACTGAGTAACTGCTGGCTGGATGAACGAGGCAGGTGGAAGCTCATGAGGAAGCGCTAAGCAAATGCGAGGCAGCACCATCATGCTGCACACTCGTTCCTTCGATGGCATGGTCTTGGAGCTAATGAGACTGAGACTGCAGGTCCAGCCCCTGTGCACCCCGTTCTCATTTAAGGGGTGTTCCCTGGCTCTTGAAAGGGAACGAGGTGGATGGGTCACCCTTGGCAGGGAGACTGGGTCAAAGTGCGTGGAGAGATCAGCAGAACCTATTCTCAAGCTGGGATCAGCCCCACCCCACAAAGCTGACGTGGATAACAGCACCTCGGGATCTAGCCCACACCTAATTAGCTGATGCCGTAGGTAGATACTCACACCCCCACACTCTCCTCACAGGCCCAGACACCTACAACACACAGGCTGGCTGATGGATCCCACATGGGGAAACCGGAGACTGCTTCTCATCAACCAAACCCCATCGGCACATGCGGCACGAAATCACGTGGAGCTGGAGAAGTGCACGTTCCAGTTTTGAAAAGTACATGCACCGAGACCCGGTGTGTGCCAGACACACCAGCTCTTGTGCGTGTGCACATGCACACCCCCACCCCCAAGCACAGTTGCTCACGCCAGAAAGGAAAACAGCCTTTTAAAATCAAACGCAACACATGTTCCAGCCAGGAAGCCAGGAATCTGGTTTCCAGGCAGCCGCGGCTGCCCCCCATGCCTCACAGATGCCGACGCTCGTGAAACGTGCAGGGCGCTGGGGTTTGCAGAGTGCAGTCGGGGCTGGAATGAGTTACCCGCAGTCCTTGCCTGACCCCGCCATGGGTTTCTCCTATGGCCCACAGGGAGGCCTTGCGGATTCCTTCTCTGCATTTACCTCTGGTCAAGGCTGCGCGGTGGGCCCGTGACCAGAGCACGCCAACTCCTTCCTGCCTTGTGCACTTGGCATGGCCAGTGCTTCCGATGGAAAAGCAGGCCCAGGGAGGGGGCCACCTGCCCTTAGATGTAGCGGAGATGCGCCTAACACCCAAGCCCCTGCCTCCAGGTCCTGGGCTGAGCCTGGTGTACCGTCCAACTGTCTCAGACACGTTTTCATTATGTTTTCACAAGGATGCCACGCTGTTCACAGGAGCGGAGGAGCCCTGATAAGCCTCTGGGGGCTGCCCATCCCTTGCTGCTGCTGCTGGTGGCATGCTGGCACTCATCCGTGCGGCCAGGGCCCCAGGACGGGCAGGGTGGTAGCAAAACGAAAGCACCTGGTCACTAGTGTTTTGTTTATTATTGTGTTGTTTGGTTTGTTATCAGTTTTAAAATCTTATGTAGCTATGTATGGATGTATGGATGTATGGATGCACGTCTTTTTGAGTGGCTGGGACAAAGGAAGAGGAATGTCTCCCGGCTAGTCGGGAAGCTGACAGGTGGTTCATTCAGATGCTGGGGAAGTCCAGCCTGGCCTGAGGACCACGGTGGTGCTATGCTTTATCCCAGCCAGTGACAAAGCCTCTTGCGTCCTCCATGGTTGCCCGGTGGACAGTGCCTGGGCCATTCAGTCAGAGGTTGCATGGGGGTGGGGAGACGGACAGGGGACACAGAAGGCAGTGTTCTGCATTCCCCACACAGGGCCTAGAGGGGAAGCAGGGGCTGAGCTCTGGACACTGGGTTCCACTGGCCAGACCCACGGGAGAAGGAAGTCTCCTCCACCGAAGCGGCTATGGCTGTGCCTGGCCTGGATGAAGAATGTGCCAGCGGAGGACCGGTGTCCTGGTTTGGCAGCGGCACCGGCACCCTTGCTGACAGAGTCGTGTACCTCGGTGGGGTCTGAACAAGCCACGTGGCCTGACCCACTGAACAATGACAGTGGACTCTGGAGCCCGGCGCCGGACTTCCCTGCCATGCATGGCCCTGAGTTGTGCAGCGCGCAGCCCGAGAGGCTGGGCCCAGCAGCCCTGGCTCTGAACCCCCAGCTGAAGAACGTAGGGCAGAGTATGGCCGTGTGTGCCCCCAGGCAGCGAAGGAGTGATGGCCTGTCCTTGGAATACAGCTAGGTGCCTGCCAGCGGGGCTAGCCCAGTGCCTGGGGCAGAGGCAGTACTGGATGAGCCTTTATTAAAGGAACAACGAATAAGTGGGTGAATGAATGAATGACGGGGAAGAGTGAGTAAGCGGGTATGTGATGCGACCCCTCCTCCAAGTCGGAGAACAGGAAGTCTGGCCTGTGAGTCGCTGCTCCCCGGCAGACAGACAGGGGGCTCGGTCAGAGGCGGATGGTGAGCTACTCTGTCAGCTACTCGGGACACAGGATGATCTGGGCTCCTCGGAAACACAACCCGGCATGCCCATGGCCAGAAATAAAAGATCCCTTAAATTATTGTTACTCCTCCTTCCAATTTTACGCCTGGGAAATTAAAGAAACAGGTTGGGAAGACAGACCTCGAGGTCGCTGTCCCCAGCCACAGCTCATTCTGCTAAGCAGCTGAGTTCTCTCCCGAGGGCACTAACTGGGCTTCTCCTCTGCGTGGGGCCCTGGACGAGGTCATCGGGACACCAAGACAGATGACTGGAGGCCCCGGGCTCTGGGTGTCCTCAGCAGGAACAGAAGATGTGGATGCGGCTCGAGGGACTGCAGCAAGGCCAGGCCCGCCCCATCTGTGCGCCAGCCTGGCGTCCGGAGTGTGGGGGGAGGGAGCGAAGGCTGCACTGGAACCCGGAGCCACAGATACGCCGTGATGCTGGTGGGGGGCTGTGTCCACTCAGCTCCATGCTCAGAGCTCCAGGAACCCACGGACGCCACTGGCAGTGTAGCCCGGGCCATAGCTTGTTCCCTTCCACACACACAAGCTGTGCTGGTGGGCTGGTGGGGTGGACACGGGCTGTCCCCTCTGGCTGAGGTTTGCGGGCAGTGATGACAGGCAGTGGGCAGCAGGGTGGCTGAGGGCAGGCAGGAAGCGTGCTCTTCACCGAGGCCAGCGCTTGGCCACAGGTGCGGGGGCCGTGAGGAGATGTGTCCTGGCGTCCCAGTGTCCCAGTCCTGCAGCCCCTCCAGCCCTGGCTCTGATGGGGTAGCAGCGGGTGGCAGGGAGGCAGAAACTTCTGTCTTTGGGCATCATCCCAAAGTGAGGGATGCTCTCCCGAATACCAACGTGAGCATGGTGAGCTGCACTCAGGCAGGGGAAGAGGTGGCCTTGCTTTCGGCTCTCTTGAGCTTGCTATTTTTGTGACCCTTTAGACTGAAATAGCCGAGAAGTAAAAAAGTGAAATCCTCAGCGCCAGCCCCACACGGGTCCCGGTGAGTGAGGGCGCAGAGGGATGGGAGCCCGGGGTTGGCAGCTGCACCCGAGGGGCCTGCAGGAAAGAAGCAAGGCCACGGGTAGCTAGCTGGCCGACTGAGCGGAATGCGGGTGGGAGTGGTAGGCCACAGGAGGGCCGGCGGTTCTCCAGCACTAACTGAAGTGGACTGACATGGAAATTTCGGCCTAAAACATACTCTTCTCTGCCCAGGGTCCTTAGTTTTACCTGCTGGTCAGAACACAGTTCACTTCCATGTTTATCCACCTTCCTTCCACCCCTGGCCAGCCACGGCCTCTATTTCCCCAGACCCATTATCCAATGTCTCAGGAGAACCAAAGTGGCAGAGTGGGCTGGGCTTTCTGGAGCATTCAGCACTGAAGCTCCACGAGTCAAGGTGGGACCAGGAGAGGCCAAGGTCCAAGGCCAAAGCACCTGGATCCTCCCTGCCCCAGTAGCAGTCCATCCCCTGGGCTGCATGGCTGGTTTCATGGAATCTCATCCTTACCCAGCAGGAAAGGACCCCCCCTGTCCCCGGTACAGGCTGGACCAGCTGACGGTGAGGCAGGCCTGCCACCCTCAGATCAAGGACAGCAGCCTGGTGACCTTGGCAGTGCACGTGGCTGGTAAGCTCAGCCTCACGAGGCCCCACACACTGGGCTATGTGCACTGTTGCTTATTCACATGTGCTTAGTTTTAACAGCAGTTATGGAAATCAGTAGAACCCAGGTCTTCTGATCCTGCATTCTCCCCCCAAGCGTGTTCTCCGCCAGATAGGCTCCTCCAGGCTGGCCTATGAAAACAGCCCTAAAAATATCTCCCTTTTCTGCCCACACCTTGCTATGCATGCGATGACCCCATTAGAACACGAAAATGCGACAGTGCGGCCAGTAGCCACCGTCCTCTGGAAGAATGTCCAGCCTCCAGGACAGCTCTACCTGCCTTGGGCACAGTGAGAGACTGGAAAACACCTCAAGGCGCCAAACGACATGAAGCACCAAGCCTGGCGACAGCCTTGAGGAACCCTGAGACGTAGGGACCCCTCACAGTGCCTGCTCTGGACGGGGCCCCATCCAATGAGAGGTGCCTCTTACAGCCGCCACGTTGGACATCCAGGTCCAGGAAGTCGTGGAGCTGCATTCTCACGCCCTTGCTCCGACACTGTGTCCCGAGTGCCCACGGTGTGCCAGGCTCTGCGCCAGCAGGACGTGGCACAGAGGTCAACATGGAGACAGAAGAAAAGCCTCTACCCCTACAGGGCTGCCAGGGTGCCAGGCTGTGCAGGGGAACCACGAGTCAGGGGCTCTCGGTGATGGTGATGAGAGCTGGATGGGGGTGGGGGGAGAGCAGGGTCTGAGGGGTGGGGGAGGGGAGGCTGCCTGGGCTGAGTGCTGAAGCGACAATAGCCTTCTGCCTCACTTAGCA